GGTTCTTCAGATTGATGGAGAATGTGCTATACATGGTTCTATACAGAACCTTTTTGAAATGGGTTCTATATAGCACCAAAAAGAGTTCTATTATTACAAGCTTGACATCATAACAATCCAAGAACCCCTTTTGGTTCTATATAAAACCCTTTCAAGAAGATGCCATACTAAACACATTCTCCATCAATCTGAAGAGCCCTTTTATGATGAAAAGAGCCCTTTAATGATGCAAAGGGTTCTTTGAGTGTTCACGGTTCTATATAGAACCATTTTATTTACTAAAGAACCCTTGAAGAACCATAATTTTAAAATGTGTACCTGGTTTCCTTTGGCATTGGCCAGCTAGAGGAAGAAGTCTGCCCCAAAATCCTTGTAATTTCTCAAATGTTCCTCCCACCTTCAAGACACATCATCAACAGGAGGTTTTTCTAGTCTTTAAACTGGAAAATCTGACTCTAGAGACTGCCTCAGTACCACTGTAGGACGTGAGGAGGCACATTTCCAACAGATCTAGTGATGGTTACTACTTCAGCATGACCAGAGAGCCCCTTTAACGTTCATTTAATAATGAATGAAGGTGTTTCATAGGTGCAGTAAACTTGCCACATTAACTTTAGGAACATCAGTAAATATGAAATTCTACATGCAGCATGTTACAGCAATCATCGAAACCAGTGGACGGCCAAAAACTGACTCGTACCTCATCTCTGAGGTAACAGCATCCTAAATAAACAGAAGGGTCAAAGGTCACTGCAGGTCTGAAGCTCAGCTAGCTCAGGGCTGAGCTCAATCAAGAACACGACAGGTAGCCATTTCTATCCGTGTAGAGCTGACATAACCATTCTGCTGCCTTTTATTACCCATGCTTCCCGGCGGCGGGAGCTCAGACTGTCCATCAAACTGCCAACAAACCTCAAGGCCTCTCAATCAGCATCGCTCTGCTTCGAAACGAAGCGATCATGAAACCCAAGGCCGACGTAGCCACCGCTGAGAGAGTGGAGAAAGAGGCAGAAACAGATGGATGGCAGGAGTGATGTAACTACAGGTCGATAAAAAAAGATTTTTTTTTGAGGTACAGTTCTTCAGTAGCAGGAATGCTGTGTTTGGGTGCAAACTGATAAGCCAATGACAAAGAAGCAGATATCAAGTAAGATGTACCATTATTGTTGATTGTGGCGACGCTACGCCAAAAGCCCAGTGAACAGAGCGTGGTTTCAAATGAATCACAAAAACCCATAAAACCAGAGACGCCTCGAGACCAAACAATTACTCCTTGGGTGAAATCCAGTGGAGTATTTTTCAGTGAAAACACGATAGACTGCAGCTCCGAATCACAGTCCACATCTACCTTGTACATCCCCCCTTTTAACATCACTACAACCATGTGTTTTTTTTAACATGTTTTATGGTTTCTAACATATATAGGAATTTTGCAAACCATCTGACAACCAGAATGGCTGATCTGATCTTTTTCAGGCCCTAATTCTCAGGTTTTCAGTGTCAGCATTTACGAAAATAAACTAAAACTGTACTTTAAATAGTTGATTTTAGTTTTCCTGTGGCCTGCTATGCGTTATAGGTGGGCTTCGGGGTGGAAAATTTGAGAACCCCTGGTCTACACCACATGGGTTGGGGGGAAACAAGAAAGCCTACATTAAATGACAGGTGACAATAACAAGTAAGGCTCTGAAAAAGTCTTCTACCTGTGCTTGTCTGCTCACAGAGCACAGGTATTGTACCATTAGAATACATGCAAACTAACTCAGCGAGTTTACAGCAGCCAGCATTAGCAGAAAGTCAGAGAGAGCAGATGGGTAACGCAGCATTGAAAAGTCAATCACCATGCGCTGCGGCTGGATTTTTCTGTGTTCTATGAAACACATATTGTAGAACTCCTGACTGCACCTGTCTCCGCAGGGCGCACATGTCGATTCATCTCGGAGAACAAGCTAGCGAGACTTGGCACATGGTGCTCCTCTCTCTCTCCTCAGCCATCAGCTCCTATTCTTCTACTGCACACGTACCTTTCATCTCCAAACTTCTCCAAAGTGGAGCTTCATCAGCTCTAAGCACTTGCAAGGAACTCGCAGAGACACTCGCAGACTCTCAGTGAAGTCTGATCACTGCATCACTGTCTCACGGCTCACACTCCGCAGGAGCGTTCGCAGGTTTTTCTGCAGTTCTGGAACATCTCTGTGCACTTTCGCTACATTCGTTCATAAACCTCAGAGATGTAAGGAAAAAGTGAGGGCTGTGAAGTGAATGGCAGCCTGACTGTGCTGAGAGAACAGTGAAGAGGACAGAAACCCGGCTATCACTGTTTAAAAAAGGAAAAGACAGAAAAAGAAAAGTTATGGAGAAAAGTTCAGCTAAAGCAGAGCTAAACATCAGCACCACACTGAGAAAGGAACGCAGTGAATTTGCTTTCAACTGTATACATAATTTTCACACAAATAAAATATATTACATCAACACGATTACTGCCAAATGTAAGTGATGATGTAATATATTTTATTAATGTGGAATTAATGTATACAGTTCAATCAACTATATTCACTGCATCAGGTGTCCAGTGGTGTATGGCATGCGTCAAACTGTTTCTCACACACACACACACACACACACACACACACACACACACAGAGGCTGTAATGCTGTAATCAGTGCAGGTGGTGAGAGAATCATGACCTCAGAGGCAGAAACAAGAGGCAACAGTACACAATCAAAAAGGTCTACTGTTATTAACTGTGTTTAAACCTCAACAGATCAAATACCACCTTACAACACAGAGAGAGAGAGAGAGAGAGATACACACAAAGAGAAAGAGGGAGATGGGAAAAAGGAGAAAGAGAAAAGAGAGAGAGAGGCAGAGGGAAAGGCAGAGAGAAAGAACAAGAAAAAAGACAGAAACAAACAAAGAAAGACATGATCTGTGTTGCCTGCAGACAAACTCACTGCAAGACAGCAAAATAAAGAAAAAAGAAAGAAGGAAAAACTAACAAGAATGAAACATAAACAAAAAGGAAAAAGTAACAAGAATGAATCAGCAAAAAAAGAAAGAAAAACCAACTAGAATAAAAATAAAATCAACAAGAAAGAAAGAAACAAAGAAAGAAAGGAAAATGACAAGAACAAAAGAAATTGACAAGAAAAAGGGAGAAAAACTTACAAAAATCAACAAAAAAGAAAGAAAGAAAGAAAGAAAAAAGAAAGAAAGAGAAAGAAAATAAATGAAATGAACAAGAAAAAAGAGAAAGAAAGAAAAAGAAAGAAAAACAAACAAACAAACACAAACAATTAAAAGAATCAAACAGATGTGTCTGTGTGGGACTGTATTTGCTCCTCACTGCTCTGTTATAATGCTGGTAAATAAACGAGCTCAGTCTGAACTCTGAACTCTGACATCACTGACACTCAAACGGCCCAGTGAGCCCTCAGACACTCAGAGTGCAGATCACTGCTCAGTCACTCATCTCTGACTTCACTCAGTCCTCCTGCACTCACTGACCCGTCTCTCACTGGACAATGTAAGAGAGACACTAAATCTGCCCTCAAAGAGCCTGGACGCCGAGCCGCCGGTCACTTTGACCTGTATGAAATGCCTTTCCCACTAATTGGAAGCCTTGCTTAATGGGCAGTTTTATGACCAGAATGGTCAGCCCAGTCAAAACTGCTCCAAACTTATACGGCTTTTTAGCTCAGTTTACAGCTCAGCAGCAGCACAGCAGAGCCAAAGGGCGAAGAACCTTAAAGCTTTAAGATTAAAGCTCTGGCTGAGGCCCGTATGGAGATTACACCATTCATTACAACACGAGCACTGCTGGGTCAACCGGATTTAAACAGCCATTACATAACGCATTAATGTGTATAGAATGCTCAGAATGTACACTGCAGGTCAAACGTTTGGGCACATTTTGCCTTGTTTTTGGTATATCTTGCTTAATGCTTACTAAAAATGATTTGACAGCTTTCTTTTTACTGAAACTATATACACATATATAGAACTATATATATATATATATATATATATATATATATACATATCACACACACACACACACAGTAATAGTCATCAGGAGGCCTCTGTTTACTATACAGAAGTAACTGTCTGCACAGTAGTAGTTAATAAGAATATGATCAAGTTACAGTTACCCTGTTGACTGTATACCAGTGGTTAATAGGAAGACAATGAAGCTGTAGTTACCCTTGTTGACAGACGCGCAGTAGCTAATAGGAACATGATAAAGCTGTAATTACCCCCATTGACTGTACAGTGGTAGTTAATAGGAAGATGGTGAAGCCATAGTTCTCATTGACTGTATAATAGTAGTTAAAAGGAAGACAATGAAGGTGTAGTTACTCTGTTGAGTGTACAGTAGTAGTGAAAAGGTATGTGACAAAGCTGTATTCACCCCATCAACTGTACAGAAGTTAATACGATGCAAAGCTGCAGTTACCCCGTTGACTGTAAAATAGCAGTTCATAAGATTATGAAGCTGTAGTTACCCCAATGACTGTATAGTAACAGCTAATATTGATATGACAAAGCTGAATCTACCCCATTGACTGCACAGTAGTAGTTAATAGGAAAATGATGCAACTGTAGTTACCTCATTGACTATACAGTAGTAATTAATAGGAAGATGGCGAAGCCATCGTAACCCAATGAACTTTAGTTAACAGGAATATGATGAAGCTTTACCAACCCCATTGACTGTATTGTAGTACTTAATAGGAAGATAAAGCTGTAGTTACCCCAGTTGACTTGGCAGTAGTAGTTAAAAAGAATATGATGAAGCTGTAGTTAGTCCATTGACTGTATAGTAGTAGTTAATAAAAAGATGTTGGTTCACTGTACATTATTGGTTAAGAGGAATATGAGGTAGCTGTAGTCACCACATTGGCTGTATAGTAGCAGTTAACAGGAATATGATGAAACAGTAGTTACCCCGTTGACTCTACAGTAGTGGTTAACAGGAATATGATGAAGCTCTAGTTACCCCTGTTGGCTTTGCGACTGCGGCTGCGTGATCGGCCTCTCCAGTGCCTGGACCCACCCAGCAGCCTGTAGTAGTAAGACCTTCTCCAGAGAGCTCTCCTCACAGCTCCAGACATGACACACATGCACTTATATAAACACACACACTCTTGCACTCTTTCCCTCTCGCTCTCTCTCTCTCTTCTCCAACAGCACAGTCTCCTGTCAATCAGCACTACTGCAGATCAGAACCAGCTAAAAAATGTTCGCACTTCAGAGCCTCCTGTGGCACTGATCAAAACCTTTAGACAGGAAGCAGGAGTTCAGAGGTCCTCCTGACTTACTGAGAGAAAGGAACTGAGGTGAGAACGAGGGAGAGAGAGAAGGGAGGACAAGGCAAGCTCTTACTCCTCCCACAGATACACTTTGCAAAGGGGAGAGAGAGAGAGAGAGAGAGAGAGAGAGAGAGAGAGAGAGAGAGAGAGAGAGAGAGAGAGAAAGGTATTTAGTGTGCCACTGACAACTATGAGAAGGTCATAAATCAGCTGGTGAATCTAGTGTAGACAGCCAGGTTCACACCACATGCAGTAACTAGCACATCTAAACAGTGGACTGGCAATCTGAGTTCATTTAACCCTTCAAACGGCCCACCGGCCCAAAGTTTTATCACACACTTCTATAAGCTAAGAATTATGACACCACTTTAGGGCAACAAAAAAAAATAGACTTCAAGAATAAATGTCATAGTTTCTAGAAGAAAATTGTAGTATTTCGAAAATAAAGTCATAATATTGTGGCCAAAGAGTTTGCAAAATGAAAGTTAGCAACCTCCTTGTGTTAAAGTGAGGGTCTCCTGCCACCTGATTTTTATGAGTATAAGAAACTGCTGAAACGGCTGCGCCAGAAACTGTGTTAATTTAAAATGAAGAACCAGACGGACTTGGAGGACATTGTCTCTCGAACTTGCAGGCAGTGTTCCTCTACAAGGCTATTGGTGGTGACATTTCCATGCCATTCGAAGAGGGCATGTAGTGTCACAGGCGACAATGAGAATAATAATGAAAACGATCGATCCAGAAGGGGCGGAACTCCGGCAGACTCGGCATCTTCAGCGACAACGATACAGCAACCGAGGCCCCAACACGTTATGGCAGCTCCTCAACAATTAGCCTACTTTATCCTCCAAATATAGCGAGTTTATTCTTGTAACAATACAACTTTATTGTAGAAATAATAAGATAAGACTTTATTCTAAAAAAAAAAAAGACTTTATTCTCAAAATATTAGGACTTTATTCTCAAAGTCCATTATTTTAATTTTTTTTAACAGTGGTCCTAAAACGCTGTTGTAAAGAATAGCTCAGCCAGTTTGCATTGAAGTCCCTGTAGTTACTGAATAATAAGCCTTAGTATGAAATAATCCTGGAATTTTAAGGGGTTAAAGTCAACGTCAATCAGATATCAAGACATTTTCCTTCCATACTGTGATGTTTCTGAACTTGCTGAGTGTTACTGTGTTATCGGCAGTAGGAGAGGGAGGTGTTATTATTAGTTAATCTGATCGCTCCTTTCCTGATAGTGCACGGTAATGTAATCAAAAAACAAATGTTTTATAGCCAGGGTAAAAGTCAGTACATTCTGACAGAAAATTATGGGAAAACTAATTTTATCTTTTATATGTTATGGTATTACAAATGGTGTTTAATATGAACAAGGAACACAAACTAACAAGGGTCACCTTTGGTTTGCTCCCAGTTTGTTCCAAAACAAATTCATGTGAACTGAGCATTGTCTTAACTCTCCCTCTTCCTTTTCAAGGACACTGGGCAAGGTCAGCATCATGCTTTCTGCGTGTACACGCAAACATGAGAGCTGAAAGAGAACAGCCAGTTTGTTTCCACAAAAGTAACCTTCTTAGGCCTTGAAACACCTCCTATTACCTTATGTTTCATCATTTCTCAGGCACAGTTCACTGAAACAAGTAAAAGTGTGGAATTTAAACTTTCGATTTATACCACATTTATTTTCATGGGTCGCATATCCACGTTCATGTCCTCCTAAGTTATTGTTTTATGATTTGAATTATATAAAAAGTTTATGTGTATTATTATGGTATAGTATTATTGACAGTGAAGCAATCGCATTAGTTTGTGTAGTTAATTGCAATTGATCTGACTGCATTTGCCTTATTTGCTCAAATTCTTCTGTTTAAAAAGCAGTGCATTTTGTTATAAGCTATATGAGTGGACAAAGTAAGCTACCTAAGAGTGTAATTCAGCTTGAACCTGAACATGAAAATCACATGAGCGCAGGGTAAACTTGAAAATAGGGTGAACGTAGTTTCCAATTTTTATCACCGATGTCCAGTGAGAGCAACAGAGGCTGCATGTTCTAACTGCCTTGCAATTGTAGCCTCTTACTCTCATATCACTATGTTACATCATGTTTTCAGGGGAACTGGAGCTGTCTATTTTTGCTTTTGTTTGTTTGCGGGGGGTTGATTTATCTGTAGTTCTCCCGCAAGCACTGTCCACAGTACTGATGCTACTGATATTGCCACATCAGTGGTGTGTTTCACTTGTAAATGATACTTCAGCCTCAACATAATTCAGTAATGAACAATTCTCAGCATTGCAATAGATCAACTTACCATCTCGCAAGGGATCAACTTACCATCTTAATGCTGTATGAAATAAAAGGACTACAGTGGCAGAGTTTTAGCAACAGTGTGTGAGCAGCTGGGCTTCAGGCTGGAACTACAGATGGTTCGAAGGGTCAAACTAGAAAAATGCATTAATGGTGTAAAAAAATAAGTGGCGTTAATTATTTATTGTGTTAATGCATCATTAACACCTTAACTTTCTCATCAGCTAAACATCAGGCTTCAAAGGATTTAAATATGAAGGCTATTTGCCCTACAATCTGACAGTTTACTTGTCAATGACTCCACTTGTGCATCAGCAGCCTGACAGGTGATTCCGCTCCATCTGTCAGCTTGTCTGTCTGATGCTATTTAGCAAGTGCTTACAGCCAGTATGGCTATAAATGTGAAGCTCCTTTGAGGTTGTGAACCTTTGAAAGCCTCCCTGTAATTTATTGATTTTGTGTCATCTTGCTTGTTTGTGTTTATTGTAAGACACAGTAAACTACGGGCTGTTTGTTTTTAGTGCATATTGCTAATGGTCATGATGCCGCTCTCTGTAATGACCGTAAACACAGCAGGTGTTGATATGCCCACTTCCTACCAAAAGAGTGAAACTGAGTTCTGGAGGAAAAAAGCACTTCCACAGAATGTAAACCAAATGTAAAAGTAGTCCATATATATATAACTCTGTATTTAATTATGTAATTAACGGTTGACGGAGTTACCACGGTAACAGCCCCCAATAATGTTAAAAAACATTTAGCACTGGTTTAGAAAACAGTCATTTATTTATTTATTTATTTCATAGAAAGATACAAGTATTCATGACACATGACTATAACTAAACTTTTCGACAGGGTGGGTGAGCTGATTAATACCACATTTATGGTACCTAAAATAGATTAGGTTGATGAAGAAATGCAGCTGTTGAGATGCACTGGTTGAACACGGTGCTGAAGGCAGATATCATTCCTGTATAAAAAGCTTAAAGGTCTATGTTACAAGGCATGCGTGCAGATTAGCTTTTCTCCACCATGAAATACTCTCATTTCAGAACTATGGGATGTCTGAACTCTATACTCCACCAGAGTGCAATGTAGAGCCTGCATCTGATATTTTGGTCAGATATTGTATCTATATAGTCCAAACAGGGAAGCAAAGCAAATGAAGTGTAGATGAAAATCAAGCATACAAAAAAAAGAGAGAAAAAAAATCTCTTGCAGTCGGCTAAAGGCTCCCGCACAGGGCGGAAGAGAAGCTCCACATCAGCAGAGGGACTCAGATAGTACAAAGTGCAGATATAGCACATAGGAAGTATCACTGGAAAGTGTTGATAAACGAAGCTCAAGTTCAATTTACACACTACTTATATTAATTAATTATAGGTGACAACATACTACAACAACAATTTCACTGACATGTGCGTTTATCATTTTTAATCAGCTTTATTTATTTATTTATTTTTTTTTACAAAGATTAAGCCCCACCCCATATGCCATCACTGCATTTCAGTGCTAAGGAATGGTCTCAAAAGTACTGGATGAGAACGTTTTTCTACTGTTTTTGTAATTTTTTTAAATAAATATCAACCCAATATGGGTTAACAACTTACTACAGTTATTTTCCACACGGTTACCCGAAAAAGAAGACTGTATCTTCAGCACAGGCCTGTGCACTGATATAATTGCATATCTAGTCATTTCAAAAGTTTTGCTGTCCAAATTACATGGTTTGTTGTTTTTCTAAGTGATAATAAGGTAACACATCCTCTACAGAGAACACACTTCTGCACATTTTAATGACTGTTTATTTGCTGAATTCAACATACTGAGGGAAAAACAAACATAAAATATGGCCTGTGAAAAAGTTAGGGCACATTTTATAATTGACTATTCACATATTTCTAATTCAAGTACATTAAAAGAAACTGTGCACTAATTTGTAAAATAATGCCATACTTCAGTTGCCTGTAGAGGATGTGTGAACTTATTTTCACTTAATCAATTAACTGTGTCATCTGGGGTGTTCAAACTTTTGCATAGGACTCTAAAAATGTAAATTAAAATGTAAACACAACGGCTGCGAGTCATGACCAGAGTCTGAGCACACACACTGAATGTGTTGACAAGTTTAGTAAGCTGTGACCTGACATCTGAACTCGGACCCCTGAGACTTTAATGACCTGTGATACACACAGACACACACACACACACACACACACACACACACAAACACACACACACACAAACACACACTCTCATACACCAACATGAACAGCAGAGGAACATCTCAAATACCTGCAAAATACACAGCAGTCCCATAGTAACTGCAGAACACACAAGACACAAATCAAAGACTGGCCAGATTAACCCTTAGAGTTCCAGAATTACAAATTATTATTTATTTTTCGTATACATTCAATTTACACTACGCAATTAGTTAAATGTAATTATATAGTAAATTACATATTGCAGGACAAACAGTTATTGTTGTCATTTTGTTGTCGTATT